CCGGTGCCCCAACCTGCCCGACGGCCGCGGGGATGGCCGCCGAGGCCAGCCCCTCTGCGGCCACTGCAGCTGGCCTGCCCCTGGGCTCCCGGTGGCACCTCTGGGCTGGGGTCGCTGGGGAGAGTGTGGGAAGGAGCCCAGTTTCCTCCCAAGTGAAGGCGGGGGCTTGTGCACAGCGATTCCTAGTTCATGTCTTTGGGGAGCTGCCAGCCCTGGAGCCAGGGACCCCGAGGCCTCGGAGGGAGTGGGGCGTGACCCCGCCTGCCTGCGGAGGGGAGGTGTCGGCCTGGTGCTCTGGCCTCTGCCCTGACGTTGCCCAAGCGCCCGTGCTGGCACACGGGTCACCGGGAGCAGATAAGGCTGGCGCAGGCTGGGGGGTGGGGGCACGGGAGTGGGGACCCTGGCCTGGGGCCGCTTCCCAGCCTCGCACGCTGTCTCCAGACGCCCCTTGGTGTGGCCACTGCAAGGCTCTGGCCCCCGAGTACGCCAAAGCCGCCGGGAAGCTGAAGGCCGAAGGGTCTGAGATCAGGCTGGCGAAGGTGGACGCCACCGAGGAGTCCGACCTGGCCCAGCAGTACGGGGTCCGAGGCTACCCCACCATCAAGTTCTTCAAGAATGGAGACACGGCGTCCCCCAAAGAATACACCGGTGAGGCTGGGGCCTTTGTTGGGGAGGGGGCGGCCCTGGCCTCCGGGGCTGACTCGCTCTGACCGCAGCGGCCTCCCCTCACCGCTGGCACAGGGCTTCGGGTGCCGGACCTCCCTGGGTGACCGCGGGGCTCTGCCGCCCTGCGCTGCAACCCCAGACCGTGGCTGGTGGCTCTGCCCCGGCCGCTCGGGCACAGACCAGGGTGGGCAGCAGCTGGCCAGGGCGGGGTGGGTGCCGCCAGCGCCCCGTCATCGGGAGCACAGTGCGGGGTGGGGCGCGTGTTCGGTTCGGTGGACGCCGGACTGTGCGGGCAGGGAGAGGAGAGGAGAGTGTGGCGGGGGGCGGGTCTCCCCGGCGGGCGGCCGTGGCCGGTGGGGCGCTGTGGCCCGGTTTCATGTGGCCGTGCTTGGCGCAGCCGGCAGGGAGGCGGACGACATCGTGAGCTGGCTGAAGAAGCGCACCGGGCCCGCCGCGACCACGCTGCCCGACGTGGCCGCCGCCGAGGCCTGGGTGGAGTCCAGCGAGGTGGCGGTCGTCGGCTTCTTCAAGGTACCCCGGGCCGCCCGCTGCTCTGGGGCCGGGCCGGCTGGCACGCTGCCCACTGTCGGCCACGGCGTGTCAGCGGGGCGTTGTCTCCTCAGGACGTGGAGTCGGACGCAGCCAGGCAGTTCCTGCTGGCGGCGGAGGCCGTGGACGACGTGCCCTTCGGGCTCACGGCCAGCGGCGACGTGTTCTCCAAGTATCAGCTGGACAAGGACGGGGTCGTCCTCTTTAAGAAGGTGAGGCCGGCGCTGGGAACCCTGCCCGGCGGCCTGGACTGTGGACCTGGCTTATCACTGCCGTTGCGCCGCCTCCGGCCACGGATCGCGCCCTTCAGCCCCGTGCCCGCCTCCCCGTTGGGGCCTGTGGGCGGGCATCACCCCACAGCGCCAGCCCCGGGTGTCTGCTACCTGCCGGGGCGCAGCCGGGGGGAGCGTGGTGGGCTGGCCTGGCTCCCGGGGGGCTCTGTGGTGGCACCTCGGCGGCTGGGGCGGCCGCTGCCCTGACCGCGCCTGCCTCGCACGCTGCTGACCCTGAGCGGCCGCCTTCTCCGCCTCTTCACCTGGCCTCAGGTGGACTGTGCCTGCTGCCCGGCGGGACGGGTCGCGGGCTAGAGGGTGAGGGCCTGACCCCCCACCTGCTGTGTCCACCTGGTCACTCTGGCGGTTGGCTGTGCGTGGGGCCACAGGGCGCCCCAAGCAACAGAGACCATGGTCGGGGGGCCCCTGGACGTGGTGTGTCCGGGCTTACCAGGTACTGGATGCTGGGCGCAGGGAGGGCAGTCCAGGCCCGCCCACCTGCCCGGTGGCCCCGCTGTCCCTGGGCCCCACTCCGCCCGCAGGTCCACGCTGCTGAGGGGCCCTCGCCACGTTTTCTCCAAAGTGGCAACATGCTGGCTCCCCGGCGTCAGAAGCCAGCAAGCTGCTTCCCGCATGCGGCGGGGCCGGGCCCCGGCCACCGCACCCCCCGCCGCCAGCTGGGGGCGGGTCGTGGTGCAGGAATGAGGGGCCCGTGGCCGACGGGCCGCTGACAGCGCTCTGTCTGCAGTTTGACGAAGGCCGGAACAACTTCGAGGGGGACATCACCAAGGAGAAGCTGCTGGACTTTATAAAGCTCAACCAGCTGCCCCTGGTCATCGAGTTCACGGAGCAGGTAGCCCCGCGCCCCGCCCCCACGTCCCCAGGGCCTCCCCGGCCCTGAGCGGCCCTGTGCTCGCCCCCAGACGGCCCCGAAGATCTTCGGCGGCGAGATCAAGACGCACATCCTGCTGTTCCTGCCCAAGAGCGCGGACGAGCGCGAGGCCAAGCTCGACCACTTCCGGAAGGCCGCTGCGGGCTTCAGGGGCAAGGTGGGCGCCGGCCCTGGTGGCGGGAGCCCCGCGCCGCCCCGCGCCGCGTCTGACCCCCCCCCAGATCCTGTTCATCTTCATCGACAGCGACCACGCAGACAACCAGCGCATCCTGGAGTTCTTCGGCCTGAGCAAGGAGGAGTGCCCCGCGCTGCGCCTCATCACGCTGGAGGAGGAGATGGCCAAGTACAAGCCCGAGGCCGCCGAGCTGAACGCCGACAAGATCACCGAGTTCTGCCAGCGCTTCCTGGAGGGCAAGATCAAGGTGCGGGCTGGGGCGGGAGGGCGGCGCGGGCGGCGCCTGGCCGGGCCGAGCCTGAGCGGACCTGCCGCCCCGCAGCCCCACCTCATGAGCCAGGAGCTGCCCGATGACTGGGACAAGCAGCCGGTCAAGGTGCTGGTGGGCAGGAACTTCGAGGAGGTGGCCTTCGACCCGCGCAAGAACGTGTTCGTGGAGTTCTGTGAGTGGGGCGCCCTCCCCTGGCCGCCGGGCTGCGGGCGGGGCCGGGGCTGACCACCTCTCTTTCAGACGCCCCGTGGTGCGGCCACTGCAAGCAGCTGGCCCCCATCTGGGACAAACTGGGGGAGACGTACAAGGACCACGAGGACATCGTGATCGCCAAGATGGACTCCACGGCCAACGAGGTGGAGGCCGTCCGAGTGCACAGCTTCCCCACGCTCAAGTTCTTCCCGGCCGGCGCCGACAGGACGGTGGGTCTCGGGGCCGGCGGGTGTCCCCGGCCGGCCGGCCCCGCCTCACACTGCCCGTCCCTCCGGCAGGTCATCGATTACAATGGTGAGCGGACGCTGGAAGGCTTCAAAAAGTTCCTGGAGAGCGGCGGCCAGGACGGGGCGGGGGACGACAGCGTGAGTGGGCGCGGCCGGCCGGCTCGGGCGGGGCGCGGGGCATTGAGGCTCCTGCTGGGGGTGGGGCGGACGGCCGAGGGTGCCGGGGCCTGGTCGAGCCGGGCACGGCCCCGTCCCGCCAAGGGCGAGGCCGCTGGTGCACAACGCCAACGGGCTGGCCCCTCCTCGGACAGGACCTGGACCTGGAAGAAGCTGAGGAGCCCGACCTGGAGGAGGATGACGAGCAGAAGGCCGTGAAGGACGAGCTGTAGCGCAGCAGCCACTGCCTGCGGGCCCCGGGCGGCCGCAGGGGTGCTTGGCCTGCCGCGCGGGGACCTGGGGCCACGCTCACCCTCGCCCCGTCCGCTCGGCCCCAGAGGGGCGGCTCCTGCGCCGGTGGCTCCCAACTCGGCTGTCCAGGACACTTGCTGGGCCGACGTGGGCGCCCCGCTGGCTCCACACTGTCATGAAGACACCCCGAATCAGAATGTTTGGATCGTAAGGTCTGTCCACCTTCCCAGGCCTCCCTGGACACTCCTGTCCCCGGGGAGGGACAGCGCATGGCCTGCTCAGCAGTGCCCGGGCCGTGGCTGTGCGAGGCCCCACGCCGGCCGGGCTGGCGCGCCCCCCCACGCACTCCGTCCTGGGCGGCTGGACGCCTGCGCAGGACAAGCCAGGGCCTGCCCCCGGGCGGCCGAGGAGCTGGAGCGGGCGTCTCCAGCATTTCTCTCAAAGATCAGAGTCGGACACATTGGCCAAATAAAGTCGAAATTTGACTACGTGTCGCCTGGGCTGGGCTTGGGAGCAGGGCTGGGGGTGGGGCCTGTCAGGACTCTGGCCTGCAGGACGCCCCGGGCCTGCCCACCTGCCCTGGCCAGGGGGTGGGGCCGGGCTTGATGCAGAGCGGCTGCCGCCCACGCTGCCGTTTGGGCTCCCGTGCAGACGGGCAGGTCCGGCCGGGGCGGCTGGCCTGAGCCAGGCCCATCCCTGCAGCCACAGCGTGACCGGGCTCAGCCTGGCCCTGGAGCCCACCTGCGCCGCCCTGTCTGGGGAGCCCAGCTCCCACCGCCCCTGGGGAAGCTCCCCCACCAGCTCTGGTCTCGCCCCGATTGTCACCAGCCACCCTCTTGGCCACGCCGGGGCCACTTCCTCCCCTGGCTCCCAGGGGCCTTGTGCCAGCTGGCCTGCTGTCAGCTCCAGGCCTGTCAGGACCTGGAGGGAGCCTGTGAGGGGCTGAGGGCTGGCCCTGCCGGCCACCTGTGGGGAGCCCACACGTGGGCCTGGAGGCTGTTGGAGAAGGCTACGGGGCAGGCGGGGCAGCCACCCTGCCCAGGGCCCATCTCCCACGCAGCTTCTCGGGGGTGGGGCCCAGCCCCGCCCCTGGCCCAGGGGGAAGCCCAAGGCTGGAGACCCCACGTGCTCACCTCTGCCACCTAGACGGCCAGCGGGCTGCCTGCCCCGGCACTCACGGGGAGCCCCTGGCTGCTTCGCCTTGGGCAGTTTCACCCCAGTTCTCGCCTGATGCCTGGGCAGGAGGCCAGACACAACTTTCCACAACAGGAGAGGTGATCTGCAGCTGGGCGTCCTGCCCGCGTGTTGTGGGTAGACCGGCCGTAGCCCCGACCCCACCTAGCACCCTGAAATGCAGCCTTGCGGGGAGCCCTCCCCGCCGGCACACAGGTCAAGGGCTCAGTGCAGTGATGGGGGACGCAGGCGTGAGGCCTGCAGGCTGGCTGGCGGGCCACGGGCGCACCGGCCAGCGCTGCCCGAGCTGCTCACCGGGGGCGTGTGGTCTGCGCGAGCGCTCCAGGACCAAGCCCAGGCTGCCTCTCCCCGCCAGCCAGGCCCTAGTGACCCCACTCTGACCCAGGATCTCAAGGGGGGACCTGGTTTGGAAACGGGGCTGCTGTCAGAGGTCAGGCTGGTGTCGGGGTGTGTCCCACGCCCACATCCTCATAAACAGGCGCAGGCAGCGCAGCTCTGCTGGCTGCCGGGGCGCTGGCTCAGCCGGGGGCCGGGCCTTGCTGGGCGGTGCTGGGCACCCAGCCAGAACCCTGCGCTGCGCCCCCCCAGCCTGTGCCCTCACGTCTGAGCTGCAGGCTCACGTCCGGCCCAGCTTACCTGCACGGAGCGAGGCCGGGGCACAGGGCGCTGGGGGGCCTGGCGGCCGGCGCACGGAGCCCGGCGCGCTGGGACAGAGCCGTGAGCTCGAGGCCTCGTGGGCTGCCTCCCGCTCCCCAGGACGCCCGCCTGGCGGCCCTCAGAGGAACTTGGGGTCTGGTCTGCACCGCTCTGCCCTCTCAAGGCAGGCCAGCTGTGCGGCAGGGGCCAGCAGCCAACCTGACCCCCAGCCAGGCAGGGTGACAGATGGGCAGAAAGACGAGCCCCAAACATGATCCGGGCGCGGCGCGGCGGGGTGGGGGCCCGGTGTCAGCCTCGCCAGCTGACCGGCTTTGTGCGCCCTGGAGCCCTGGGTAGGCGCAGGCAGCTCTGCCGGGCGCCTGCGGCCGGCCGCCCACCCCAGTGCCGCGGGGCCAACTTCCTCCGCCCGGCGGCAGGCCCCCGCGGCCCCAGGATGCCCAGCAGAACCGTCCGCTACACCCGCTACAGCCCCCAGCAGCGGCGCCGGCGGCAGCTGGCCCATCACAGAGTCCGCTTCCCCGACGACGTCCTGTTCCTGGACCACGTCCGCCAGGGCGACCTGCGGCAGGTGCAGCGCTTCCTCCGGGCCCGCAAGGTCGCCCTGGACACCATCCACCCCTCAGGTGAGCGCTGAGCACCCGGCCTCGCGCACCGCGGGGCGGCGGGCCCTGACCCTTTGCTCGCCCTGCCCAGGCCTGGCCGCCCTGCACGAGGCAGTGCTGTCCGGGAGCCTGGAGTGCGTGAGGCTCCTGGTCAGGCACGGAGCTGACGTCCAGCAGCGCGCTGAGGCGGGCTGGACAGCCCTGCACATCGCCTGCAGCGACGGGCACCCCGAAATAGCCAGGTGAGCCTCCCCGCAGGGCCCGACGGCGGCGGGCTGGGTGGCACTGCCAGGAGCCGCCTGGAATCGCCCGGCCCTAGCCGCCGGCGCTCCCCTGGGGCACACTGGCCAGGGCAGCGAAGGCTGCGGAGCATCAGATTCCCTCCTCACCCACTGGGAAAAATAAACAGGCGCTGGCGGGACCCCGCCTGGGCCCCGGGCGCGGAGGCCTGCCAACGGCGACCTTGCGCCCAGGTACCTCATCTCCCTGGGGGCCGACCGGGACGCGGCCGCCGAGGACGGCACCCTGCCCTCCGACCTCGTGGATCCCGACTGCGCGGAGCTGGCAGAGCTCTTCCGAGGGTGAGGCTGAGCCCGGGGCGCAACCCGGGGGCCCCCTCCCTCCTCCCTGGTCCGGGGCGCCGCCAACAGTGTGCTGGGCCCCCCGCTGGACCCCAACCCCTGGTCTGGCTTTTGCTTCAGGTGAACTTCTCTTCGAGACGCTTTGTCCTTTTCCAAGAAAGGTGATTCCGAATCGC